GAGAAGGAGGAGAAGAAGGAAGCAGGAGGAAAAGGAGAGGAGGAAGAGAAGGGGGGCTGAAGGAGGAGGAGAAGGATGAGAAGAAGAAGAAGGAAGAATTAGGAAAAGGAGAGGAGGAAGCGGAGGAGAAGAAAAGGAAGGAGGAAGAGGAGGAGGAGGTAAAAGGACTTCTTGGGTTAGGCTGACTCTGTAAAGCGGTGCATAAAGTATAGGAAGGGCTGCTGTTTGCTCGGTGCCCAGCGCGCCTTTCGGTTACCGGCTGCCTCGTCCCGTTCGGAGCGGCCGTCGAACGTGGAGGCGCCTCCCGAAGCGTCTCCGGCGGAGGTTCTGGGCGCGTGGAAGCGCCGCGCCGGCGAGGCGTTCTCTTCCCGCCGCGCCCGTTAGCGGTTGCCCTTGGCCGCCGGCGCCGCCCGCTCGCCCGCCCGCCCGCCATGGCTCTGCCGGCGCTGCTCCTGCCCTGCGCCCTCCTCGCCGCCGCCGCCGCCGCCGCCTCCTCCTTCGTGACCCCGCAGGGTGAGGCCGGGTGTGTGTGTGTGTGTGTCTGTGTGTGTCATTGGGTGGGTCATCACCAGCATCTTCTTATGGGGCCGGTGAGGATGAGGCTTCCAGCAAGCTTGAACAGACAGGGTACAAAGGCCACCTCCTCCCTCCCTTCCACATACAAAGTTAGGTGTATGTAGGTACATGCATACTTCTGTATTTATGAATTTATTTTGTCATGTCCACGTAGTGCATATTAGAGGGGGTGGCCCTTTTGAGAGCTGTAGGCAACGAAATTTCACTTTAATGTATGCCAATTCGTGTACGATAAAGTTCAAGTGACAACAAAGTTTCTCTTCTCTTCTCTTCTATTTCATATTCTCTTCTCTTTCCTCCTCCTCCTCTTTTCCTCCTCCCTCTCCTCTTCCTCCATAGGTTATTGATTTCCTTATCCCAGTGCCTACCTCTATCTCTATATATCTCTTTGTCTCTATCTCTCTATCTCTATCTCTATGTCTCTATCTCTACATCTACATCTATATCTATTTCTATCTCTCTCTCTATATATATATACTATATATCTATCTCTATCTCTCTACATCTATATCTACATCTCTATATCTATATCTACATCTACATCTTTATATCTCTGTCTCTGTCTATCTATCTATCTATCTATCTATCTATCTATCTATCTATCTATCTATATCATCTGGTATTCAGCTTTGTTCGGGTATTTTCCCAGGTCATTATAGTTGTGCTTTTAAAGTTGTAGCGACATTTCGGCAGAATCTCATCTGCCATCATCAGGCTTGTGTATTATGTTTGTCATACACAAGCCTGAAGATGGCAGATGAGATTCTGCCAAAACAGTTACACCTTTAAAAGCACAACTATAATGACGTGGGAAAATACCCAAACAAAGCTGAATGCCATATATATAAATACCTGCCAAAACTTAAGAAAACATATATATGTGTATGTGTGTGTGTGTGTGTGTGCGTGTGTGTGTGTATGCATGCATGTGTGTGTGTGTGTGTGTGTCTGTGTGTGTGTGTGGTCAGCTTTGTTCGGGTATTTTCCCAGGTCATTATAGTTGTGCTTTTAAAGTTGTACAACTACAATGACGTGGGAAAATACCCGAACAAAGCTGAATACCATACGTGTAAGTACCCACGAAAACTTAAGAAAACATATATATATATGTATATACGTATATGTGTATATATGTATATGTGTATATTTGTATATGTATATGTGTATATATGTATGTATGTATGTATATATGTATGTGTGTGTGTGTGTGTATGAACTACCTATATCCATGATTATGACAGTCTTTCTCCTGCTTAGGGTCCCATCGATCATTTCTGCAGGTTATCGTTCCTCAGAGGAACCCAGCTCACATCACTGGAAATAAGGTACTTCTATGGATTTACGATCCCCCCCCAGCCCCCACAGTCTGTTCTAGGTAGCCTATCCTCTTCAGGATGGTCTTTGATATAAGAAGGGCAGACTTGTTCGTGATGGGCAGACTTCTTCTTGGCCAGAAGTAAGATTCTGTCTGATAAAGGGAGGAAGCCACTCTGTTCTTCTTGACGAAACTTCTTCCAGGTTGGGATTTAAGCCCCTCTTCACGGATTCACACAACCTCCCCCACCCCCTGCTATTTTATCAGCTATCCCTTCATGTTCAGATAAGATTGTGGCAGGAAAGGCAGACAAACCAGCTTAGATCAGACCAGGAAGGATTCAGATGTCAGATCCTCTGCATTCCTGCGGTAATAACTCAATCACACAATCTCACAGTCACTCCTGCCCTGGTCACTTCCCGTCTTGACTATTGCAAGGCCCTCTACGTGGGGATGCCCGCTGAAGAGCATCCAGAAGCGCCAGTTGGTGCCAAATGCAGCGGCTCAGATGGTTTTGTGCAGACCCCGGTGCATCTGCACAAAACCTCTCATGCGGGAGCTGCATTGACTGCAGATTTGCTTCTGGGTGCAATTCAAGGTGCTGGTTGTCACCTTTAAAGCCCTTCATGGCTTGGGACCAGGTGCTGTGGGGGAACATCCCTTGCTGGTCACATCTACCTGACCCACCAGAGTGGGGTGGCCGGGAATGCCGTGGGTCCCATCTCCAAGGGCCATGAGGCACACAGAGCCATTTGTGCAGGCACGCGAACCCCAGCCAAACTTACCTGCACTGCACATTTGTGTGCGTCCCAGCTGATTTTTGGCCTATTTGAGCCTGTTTTTGCCCTCCTGGAGACTCGAGGGAAGCCTCTGCAGCCTCAGGAAGCTGAAAAAAGGGCCTTCCAGAAATACCGGAAGTGCCAAAACGGGCCTGTTTTTCAGCCTCCCAAGGCTGCAGAGGCTTCCCTCGAGCCTCCGGGAGGGCGAAAACGGGCTCAAATGGGCTGAAAATCCACTGGGAGGCGTGCACATGTGCAGTGCAGGTAAGGAACAGGTGGGGGTGTTGCACGCGCATGCTCAGCGGGGGCAGAGCACATTGCATTCTGGGTGCTGGCCCGCATGCGTGCATGCTATCGCACATGCGTGGGCTTTCAGCATGCCACAACAGAAAGGTTCGCCATCACTGCCCTAGGGAAGTACACCTGGTGGGACCCAGATGAAAGGCCTTCTCCGTGGTGGCTCCCTCTCCCTGGACTATCATCGTCCCAGCCGGAGATTAGAACGGCCCCCACTCTGACACTCTTCCGGAAGGCGCCGAAGACCTGGTTCTGCCAGCGGGCTTGGGGGAACCCAGAGCAGGATGGAGCCCATTAAATGGCTTGTGTGGTCTGCTGTCGCTGGGATGAGAGACAGGGGATGCGGGCTGATTTTCTTATATATTCATTTATTTGATGATTTTTTGTATTAGTTTGGTTGTTTTAAATGAGGTTTTATATTCTGTAAATCAGGGCTGCAATGGATTCTGGGATATTGATTGGTAGCGGGGAAACACTAAAGTTATTCAGGTTGGTTTGGGAGCTTGTAGTGAGCTCTCCAAGGTGCTGATGGTGTTTGTAGATCAGAGGTCTCCAAACTTGGCAACTTTAAGACTTGTAGACTTCAACTCCCAGAATTCTGGGAATTAAAATCCACAAGTCTTAAAGTTGCCAGGTTTGGGGATCCCCGTTGTAGATGGACATACCCCAGTTGACTTTTTAGGACTGTCGCCTGGCCAGGATAAATATTGGTAATTATATCAATTTTTCTCCCCAGAGTTGGATGATACGATGCTGGAAACATGTTTGACTTGTTCAATGGTCTAAAGATCCATCCCCCCCCCCAAAAAAAAACCACATTCTTAAGTCAACTAACATGCTCAGTTCAACAACCAAGTTCAGAGACCACCAAGGACCCCACAGATTCTTAATTCTTTATAAACCAGTAAAGCTTTCATGCACGACCATGCTATTTTTAGAAACGTAAGGATGCTCTTCTCTGCTTTTTAAGAAGTTTTCCTCAGGTGAACAATGACTAGGATAGATCAGGACAGGCAAAAGGACCCACAGTGTCATTTTGCTCTTAAAAATCCCTAGAATCAATCGTATCACCAGCCTCACCTCACATTTAAAATAGTCAAGGTATTAAAAACCTATTATGCACACTTGTCAAAGGGAAATTGGGACTGAAAATATCTTTATGATATACTGAAGGAGAAGAAATAAAGACTTGGTCAATAGGGCCTTTCAAGAGAGGGGATGAAGAGGGAGCGAATTTCTAAGTAAGTTTTGCCCCTGATTTCTGCCAACCTGAATGGGATATTGGGAAAGAATAGGAACGGGGATAAATAAACCAAAGCTAAAAGTTGCCTTAACAACAAGAGTTCTTAAAGTTGCCTGAAGAACTTATGGTGTGGTACGGAGGCAGCACGCTGTAAAAGGCGCCTGTCTTTGGAAGAAGAAGGACTAGGCAGGCTCCTGCACAATTCGAGACAAGCGCCATGTTTCCAGAGAAAAGGCGGTTCTTATCTTGAAGTAGCTTAAGTAGAATGCCTGGGGTTCTACTCCAGGAGGCCTGGGAAAGAGGCCTGTTCTCTTAGAGATTGGGAGTCTGAAGCTGTGCGCTGGTTGGGATGACGGGATACTCTGTCCGACATACTCGCGCGTCATTGAGTTGGCGAGAAATCCCCTTTCGTGTAAATATGTCAAATAACTTGGTGGCTTTGAGCAGGGGTGGGCTTCACAAATTTTAGCAACGAGTCCTCTGCCTGGTTGCTGGGTGGACCTGGCCATGGCGCCTCCTGCACCACAGTGTGTGAGGGGAACCCGATTTTGGTTTCCTTGGGTCTCCAGGAGGGCAAAAACGTCCTCCGAGGTCTCCAGAGGCTCTCCGGAAGCTGGAAATGGGCCCATTTTTCACCCTCCCCGAGCCTCCATGTATGCCCTGCACTTACCTGCATCCAAACTGGGCTGTGTGGGGACTCCTGGGAGGGTGGGGCAGGGTTGGCGGGGCCAGCCAGGAGTGGGATTTGGGGGTCCTATGAACTCTGCTGAATCTTAGCTAGGGCCTCTCCCGAACCCCTGCGAAGTCCCAGCATCCAAGCCCTGGATTTGAAGCAGGGGTGGGATGCTGCTGGTTCGGCCCAGTTCTATAGAACCGGTAGCTGCGAAGAGCAGCTGACACTGAACCCGTTTGGTTGTTTGGCTCACATGCCTGCCTGGGCTCTAGGCTGTCCTTTATTCCTTGCTTTTCCCTCCTCAGCTACTTTGTGCGGCACAGCTGAGGCTGAAAAAGCAGGAAACGAGGATTTTCAAAGGTTGTGCATCCCAGTGCAGTGCTTGTCAGCTGTCCAGGAGGCACAGCTGAGGACTTCTTGCAAACGCTGCACACACGATTAGTTTGGAGAACTGCAAATCGCTCCACTGGCTGGCTCCGCCCCTCCCCACCCACTCACTCCTTACCTGGCATTTGAGCCATCCAACTTGCCTGCTTTGGTAACTTACTATTTTTCCTTTTTTTTCCCCTCTGACCATCAGCTGTTCTGCTCTGCAGGGAGATTTAGATTAGCTAGAAAGCAGGAAATCCTTGGATTTCTTGCTTTCTAGCTAATCTAAAAGCAAAGCCGAACCTTCCTTAGGACTGAAGCTTCTGCTTTTCAGTGCAGACCCAGGTAGCCGATTGCAGATAGATAGATCTCTAAGTGAATCTGTGATTCTGTGAGCAACTCAATCTGCCTGCCTGCTTTGCCTGCTTTTGGGTAAACGTTGCTCTTTTTTAATAAAAAAAATAATAATATTTGCATACATAGTGTTTTGTGAGTTAATTTTGTGAGTTTGCTTGCAAGCAAATTTTATGTGACAGACTCAGTAGCCAATTGGAGATAGATAGATCTCTAAGTGAAAATGATTCTGTGAGCAACTCAATCTGCCTGCCTGCTTTGCCTGCTTTTAGGTAAAAGTTGCCGTTTTTTATAAAAAAAACCCAATATTTACATCAATATTTATAATATTTACATACAAGCCATACCCACCCAGTCACATGACCACCAAGCCATGCCCAATCAGCAAGCCACACCCACCCAGTCACATGACCACCAAGCCACACCCACAAACTAGGCCACACCCACAGAACCAGTTGTTAAGAAATTTGAATCCCACCCCAGATTTAAGGGTGTCCTGTGTTCCCAGGCAGAAAGTTACGGGTTGCAGAGAATGGGATCTCAAAGTTTTGTTTACAGAGCCTGTGATGAGATCCCTCTAAAAAGCACTTCCAACCAGGAGTAAAATTTATTTTCAATTATACCGTCTTTGCAGTTCATGCTGCTTGGATCTAGACTTGTTTGTTTTTCTGATTTTGGCTTTGTGCTGCTTGGATTTTGCGATACGAATAAAGCAACGGGAATAATATAACAATCCCTTTGGCTGTTTCAGGAGAGGATGGCATTTGACATGAACATAGAAGGGAAATCCTTTTCCATCTTTCTGAAGCAACAGTGAGTAAGGGAAATCACTGGGAACCGCTGCCCATTTGGTAGTTAATTCGTATGCTTGCACGAACGCTTAAGGAACCACGTAAACGGTTTAAGAGATTTCAAGACTTGTTTGACCAAAGAGGAAGGAAATGACCCCCCCCCCAATTCGATTCTACAGAATAAATGAATGTATTTTCAGAAGTCAATTTTCCCGTCCCTGGTTGGAAAAAAAAAATTCCATTCATTTTAAAAGATAGCCACAGAGGAACAGGAAAAAAATATTAGTATACCTGTCATTGGCTGATAAATGTTGAAATAGCTGGTGAAAGGCACTGCTCCTACGTGCTTTGATTCTTGCTTCAGGATGCAGTGGGACTTGGCCAAGAAGAAAGATGTAGAATTTTGGTTTTTTGTTCTAATTCCATATATTTATTAGGTTGTATCATGTACTGTGTCATCTCTCTCTCTCTCTCCTCCCTCCCTCCCTCCCTCCCTCCCTCCTTTGTCCTGGATCTGGTGTCTCTCTGCTTTTTTGTAGAGCCTTTATATCCAATTATTTCAGAATTTATACATACAACAAAGATGATACGCCTGTGTCATTTGTCCCTTCCAATCAGGTAAGATTTCTCTGAGATAGGAAGTAAGTATTTTTATCCGGCAATTGTTCGATTCCACTCATCCACTGATTCAGAAAAACGGTCCCTCAATGATTTGAGTTTTAATTAACTGGCTGATCATCACCAGATATGCGCTGGTCTATTTTTATTGGAACAACGTTTAAACAAAAACAAATAACATTACAAACTTAACAATTGAGTGATTCACTTAACCATGGCAGCAAGAAAGGTTGTACAACGGGGCATGATTCACTTAACAACTGTCTTGCTTAGCAACAGAAACTTTGGGATCAGTTGAGGTTGTAAGCCGAGGAATACCGTAGCTGTGCATTTAAAAACTTACCCAATGAACAACGGAAAGTTTTTAATGTGGCAAATAATTTTGCAACTGTCGAAGCTGTAAAAACGAGGCATGAGAAATGACTGATGGGCTGAGATGTTGAGGTATAAGGTTTAAGAGCTGCCAGCTGCTGTAAGTCTGATGCAATATAAGTCTGATGCAGTGAAGATGAATCAGCACTAGTACTGGCTCTTTAAGATTGAGGGTGGGTTTTACCCCTTTAAGAAGTGTTTATATAAGGCAGCCATTAGAGTGGGCGTGTTCACTCTCCTTGTGTCTGGTATCCATTGCAGAGTTCTCCGTGTAGAGTTAAGAAGATTGATTGCTTGTAACATATTTTGCCTAACACTTATATTTCTGTATATGTCTGGTATATAAACCTGTCATGCCCTGTCAGAATCTGATTCGGAGTGGGAGGCTGAACAGCTGACAGAGAGTGGGAGTGTGGCTCTTTTGGCTATGGAAGAAACTGGGGAAGGGCAAAGTCCAGCTGGGCAGAGCAAGGGAGAGGTAGAGCAAGGGAAAGGGAATTCAGAGGAAGACCCAGGCCCACCCCCTCTTCATCCTAGGGCAGGCAGGGAGGAATGGAGAAGGGAGCAATGTGAGTTGTGTGGCTTATGGGGGAGGAAAGGGCCCTGATTTCCTTCATTAGCTGCAGCTGGGAACACAGTGTTTAAAAAGGGAAGTTGTGCCCAGCAAATTGTGAGTTTATCTGATATCAGTGTTCCTGACGTTTTCCCAACTGTGTGTGTTTTGCTGTGCTTTCAAGCCTGAAATTCCTTCTCCTGCCCTGCCAAGATAATTACTGTAGGGTGGTTTGTGTGGATTTTTATTTACAGTTTAAATGTACTTCATTTTCGGACTGAATTTTCTCCACTTAAAGGCTGTTCCTGGGAGAGTTTTTCTCCAGATGAAGGTAACTGGGCATTGGGGGCAAAGCTGGAGATAAGAAAGGGATGCTTCTTGCTTATTTATCGGTGTTGCCTTTGTGCCATGCCCTGGGTCATCTCAAAACCACTGCTAAATGTCTACGCCTCTGTGTGCTGTGTTTTGCTCCTGGGCTGTCTCATATTAGCAGTCATGCCTCAAATGCTCTGACATGAGAAGATGTCCTGCTTCAGTGTGTTGGAGATATCATATCTTTCTTTTGTCTTCCTCCTCTCTGTTACGAGATGCCCTTTATTAAACATGAAATCCCTCTTGTTTATTCTTTTTAGCGGGATTGCTATTATCAAGGCTATGTAGATGGTCACACAGATTCAATTGTGATGCTCAGTTCCTGCTCTGGGCTCAGGTGAGGTCTGGTAATTTCCTCTTGACCAAACCCTTCCCGTCCCTCAGCCCAACTGTTCCTTGTCCTCTCCAGAATAAGAGTTGGGAGGGACTTTGGACATCTTCTAGCCAGAACCCTTTCTCTAGCAGGAGAGGCTATTCTGTTTCAGATAAATGGTTGTCCAGTCTCTTTAAAAAAAAACAAACTCCAGTGACGAAGCCCCCACAACTTCTGAAGGCAAGCTGTTCCACTGGTTAATTGTCCTCACTGTTTGTTCTGACCTTGTCTTCCCCAAAAAGCACTAAGCAGACTCTTTGTCCTGGCAAAACCCCTTTTATTAAACAAAGGCGAATTTCTTGCATCCACCTTCAGCCAAAGGCCTGGCAAACAGTCTTTCAAGGGTGTCAAATAGGAGCACAGACCTTATCTAGCTTGGAGAGCTGCCCAGTAAATATTTCCAAACGCGGTGCTGACAAGGAAGGACTCCGCACAGAGTCTCCTGAGATGCAAAGACAGATCTTCACACTGCTGCAACAAACGAATTGTTTTCTGCAAAAGAAAACCCCCTCCCCTTTGGCTCCTCTTTTCAAATGTATTTCCCCTTCTTTAAAAAAAACAACCCCAAAACAATAAGCTTGGTCATGGTGCTTTATTTATTTAACCCCGTTCCTGCTTTTTCTGCCTGTCAGCGGGCTGATACAGATTCAGAACATCAGCTACGGGATTGAGCCAATCGAGTCGGCTTCTGGCTTCCACCATCTTGTTTTTCGGATAGATTACAATGATACGGGCCTTCAGTTTTCAAAGCAGAATTATTCCATTAAATGGACTCCCACGGTGATTTCAAAGAAAGACCCAGCAGAACCAGTGAGTACCACGGTCTTCGTCGCTCTTACAAAATCACCATTAGCCTCTCAGTTGGGTCATGGGCAAGACCAACATGTCTTGCACAACCCAGTTTGTATAATGGAGTAGAATGGGTTAATTGTAGAGCAGCTGGCTGAGGAATTCTGGGAGTTGAAGTCCACAAGTCTTAAAGTTGCCAAGGTTGGAGAGCCCTGTTGGATAGCAGATGTTTATTAGAGAGATTACTTTAAATCTCTCTAATAAACACCTGCTATCCATTTCCTGAAAAAGAGACGAGAGTTAGCAGAGAGTTAAATCTAACCTTTGGATACCAGCAGAGGTGAAATCCTAGAGTGGTCTTACCCCAAATATGGAAGATAAAAGAAAGGCAGAAGGGGAAACAGCTTCTCTCATTGGACAGGCACCACTCTGAATGGGTGTTGTGGTATCCCAATGTAGCCACTGAATAGATCAGCCATACCACCCATATATTGCGGTGGTGCAGTGGTTAGAATGACTCTGCCCACTGCCAGCAGTTTGATCCTGACCGGCTCAAGATTGACTCAGCCTTCCCTCCTTTCGAGGTCAGTAAAATGAGGACCCAGATTGTTGGGGGACAATAAGTTGACTCTGTAAACCACTTAGAGAAGGCTGTAAAGCACCGTGAAGCGGTATATAATTCAAAGTGTTATTGCTACTCCCTTCCTTCCTTCCTTCCTTCCTTCCTTCCTTCCTTCCTTCCTTCCTTCCTTCCTTCCTTCCCTCCCTCCCTCCCTCCCTCCTTCCTTCCTTCCTTCTTTCCCTCCCTCCCTCCTTCCTTCCTTTCCTCCTTTCTTCCCTCCCTCCTTCCCTTCTTCCTTCTTTCCTTTGGAGTGGCCTTTGACTCACTTGCCCGATCTTGCTATTTTCCTAGGCAGACCTTAATTGCCCCTTTCTTTCCCTATCCAGTGGGTCAAACAGGCTGAAATCCCGAGTGTGTAAAAGAGTCATGTAATCCTCCACTGATAACAATATCTTAAACTGTCTTTCTCCCCTTAAATGAAAACAGATTAACTTTGCCATCCTCAAATATGTGGAAATGCACGTGGTTGTGTCCAAATCTCTGGTAAGTGTATTTTGTTGGCTCTGCTCACTAGGGGTCATTGTCTAAAATGCTTCCAAACCTGGAGTGGAACAAAATAAGGATAGCGATAGTGTCTATAAATCCGCTTTGTCTCCTTCATACAGCCTTTGTCACGATTAATTTAAAAAAAATCTGGGAAATTCATCTTCCCGATTAGTCAATCAATTTTCTTTAATTCTTTTCCTTTAACGAGTTAAAGAATTTTCCTTTATTTCCAATAAATTTTCTTTAAAGTTTTCCTTTAATTCTTCTAAGCATATTTACTTTTAAGAAATATTCCTTCTGAAATGCATCTGTCTCAATGCACATTTCTGGGGAGAATTAACAGTCTCTCTGACAGTTATTCCCAGTCTGTGCTGGAAATATTCTGGTGGAGTAACGTGATCTTAAAGGCAGTGAAACCCGCAACAGGTTTACAGATTAACAGAATCGGAAGGGACCTTCTAGGTCATCTAGTCCAACCCCCCATCCAAGTTACACCATTTCTGAAACATGGCAGTCCAGTCTCTTCTTGAAAGCCTCCAGGGATGAAGCTCCCACAACTTCCGAGGGCAACTTCTGTTCCATTGGTTGATTGTTCTCACTGTCAGAAAATTCTTCCTTATTTCCAGGTTGAATCTCTCCTTGTTCAGTTTCCATCCATTATTCCTTGTCTGGCTTTGGGTGCTTTGAAGAATACCTTGACCCCTTCTTCCTCTCTGGGGCAGCCCCTCAAATACTGGAAGACTGCTCTCCTGTCTCCCCTGGTTCTTCTCTTCCCTAGACTAGCCAAGCCCAGTTTCTGTAACCGTTCTTCATATGTTTTAGCCTCCAGTCCCCTCATTATCCTGGTTGCTCTTCTCTGCACTCTTTCCAGAGTCTCAACATCTTTTTTATAATGTGGTGACCAAAACTGGATGCAGTACTCCAGGCGTGGTCTTACTAAGGCTTTATAGAGTGGTATTAATACGTCCCTTGATCTCGATTGTATCCCTCTGTTAATGCAATTTAGGATTGCATTGGCTTTTTTGGCTGCTGCTGCACACTGCTGGCTCCTATTTAGCTGGTTGTCCACTAAGACTCCAAGATCCCTTTCACAGTTCCTGCTGTTAAGCCTGGTTTCACCCAGTCTGTGTACTTTTGGTTTTTCTTGCCTAAGTGTAAGACTTCACTTTTCTCTGCATTGAATTTCATTTTGTGAGATATGGCCCAGTGTTCTAGTCTGTCAAGATCCATCTGGATCTTGAGCCTATCTTCTTGGGTGTTAGCTATTCCTACCAGCTTAGTATCATCTGCAAATTTGGTAAGTTCCCCTTCTTCCTATCCATGCCTCCGCGCATAATTTGAAGATCTCATCAGCAATATTCTTTAGTCAGTCATTCCAGCTACTGTTGGATGGAATGAAAATGGTTTTGCTTCTGACTGTACCTTACAGTCAGAAGGTACAGTCAGAAACAAAAGGATGTTTCGGCGGGGTAAGGTGTGTTTGCAGACTTATTCTTTCGAACGCACATTTTGCACAAGCTGCCTTCAGCTGGATTTTTAAATCACCGTAAAGCTGACGCTATTGATTAATAAAGAAATGCGTTTTATTTTATTTTGCAGTATGATTATATGGGTTCCAATGAAGACGTTGTCACGGGGAAGATCATGCAGCTTATGAACTTTATCAATACCGTGAGTTGTGCCTATTTATGTGCTTCTAATCTCTACGCCAGCCATGCTTAGAGCGTCGGGCTCCTATGTTGGCTCACCATGATTGATTCTGGCCCCCAAAAGCTCCCTCTGTAGCGTTCTATTCTTCCTCTTAAATAATAACTTTGGCAACCTAATTATATCCTGTTCAATCGGCTTCAGTAAAACAGGGTCTCAGGAGTTACTCCCATTTAAATCATGAGCTTCGAGCCAAATTTCCAAAACTTCAAAAGGATTTATTGGGAGTTAAAATGTCCAGCACTGCCTGGATGTAGCCGACTCTGAGACATACAATTCATTGTTCCTCTTGAGCCTGATTTCCCTCCACCCCCCACCCCCTGGGTGTATCATCACTCATATTCTCCAATGGGACACATCCATAGCCAAGAGCCAATCATGCTCTCCGGTTAGGATTTTGCACGGAAGAAATTTCAGTCACCTAGTTACTATCTTTGAAAACATTTATGGAATGCAAGCTGCCCGTTGCTGACCCCTCCCTTTCTGTTGGGAACTCTAAAAAGACCATAGAAATATTTTATGAGTTGACTCAAGGAAGAGGGACTCCTGGTTCCCATTCTCCTCCTCCCTCCCTCCCTCCCTCCCTCCCTCCCTCCCTCCCTCCCTTCCTTCCTTCCTTCCTTCCTTCCTTCCTTCCTTCTCCCACATTTATTATTTTTTAAAAATAACTCATTACCAAACTCACACAATACTCCTTCCTCCTCCCCTTGTCCCCCACAACAAAAAACCTGTTATGTGTGTTGGGCTGAGAATCACTAGTCCAGTCACCCAGCTAGTTTTAATCCCTAAGGCAGGACTAGAACTCACAGTCTCCTGGTGATCAGCCCCAAA